CCGCAATGGCAGAGAAGCCACAAAGTGTTTCCAAATGGCATTGAGAGAAGACGAAGCAAATGGGGAGTTTCTTGGTGGGTTGGCAATCGCAGCCTTTGCATCATGGACTCACTCACACGATTCTGCAACTTGGAATGCTGCCAGAGAGAAGTTGGGCACCATTATCGGTGAACAGCAGCAAAACTATGAAGCTAAGGTGTATTTAGCCCAGATCCTTAAGAGGGCGGATAGACAGCAAGCAGAAGCCCTCTTAGAAGATGTTGTTCAGAATAGCCTGGACCCTGAGGTTCTGAGAAATGCAGCCAAATTCTTTCAACAAGAATTCCCACAAAAAGCAATTGCTATCCTACAGCGAGCAATATTGCTGAATTCCACTTACCATCTCCTTCAGTATGACCTTGGCGTCTGCTACAAGAAACAACTGAAGGAGGCCAAGTCAGGCAGAGGAGAAATATTGGCAGCAGCTATTGAAGCCTTCAAAAAGGCTGTGCATAAAGATCCAACCTCTGTGTTTGCAAAGCTGGCTTTAGCTGAAATGTATGGAGAAAATACACCTCACTACCAAGAAGAGATTTATCTCAATGTCATGAGTGAAATGCCCAGCCTCAGCAAGAGGTGTCAGCAGGCCGTCTACCTTCACTGGGGGGATTTCCTCTTCTACAAGCAGAAGTCACTGTGGGAGGCAGCTAAGACGTACAAAGCAGGTTTCGCCATTCCAGACAAGTACCTGGAGAGGCAACAACTGAAAACCAGGTTGGAAGAGGTGGCAGGAGAATTCCAGCAGAGCTCCCAAACCGCTGAGGCTGGGGCCATATATGACTTCATTCAAGAGAATGAAAGTCCGAGACACTATAAAGTTCACTGATGGCAACAATAGAGCAGGAGACTGGAGATGTGGAGACAATGCAGGATCCCTTTCCCTTCCCTGGACACACCCAGACCTCCTTCTGAAGCAAGTCACTTTCCCCACCTGTGTAACAATGACATTCGTGTTGCAAGTGATTCTGGGTCCCCTGAATAGTTCAGACCACGGCACATCCTGCTGCTGCTTCTTATAATTATTATTAGCTACCTGTACTGTAAAGAACGAGGCCCCTTAGTTAAATTGTGCATGTTTGGGACACATCCATGTATGTAATTAATAAGGGCTATGTGTACGTTTTTCTTATGTGATGGTTGTCATATGTTTATGGGTCCTGAGATTGTCCATGAACATAGGTTTTGTGAAGTTTCAGTTCCCTGCAAAAGGCACAGGGCGGGAAGCAAAGAAAGGAGTTGCCTAGGGAACTAGGGTATATAGGGAAGCCGGTGGGGTAGGGAGGAGACTCTTTCTCAGGAGAGTGAGAAGGTTGCTGCCTGCTGAGCTGTGACTTTAAATACAGCAGCAGTCAGGATCTCTCTCCCTGACAGCAGGGACGAGCTGTCAGCCCGTGACAGCTACTGACACCAGTGAGTGCGTTGTTGTTGGGGTTTGTTGTTCTGATGGGGAGCACACTCGCAGACACACACAGAGCTAGGTTCTTACTTGCAGCCATGACGGCGCAAAGGGGTTAGGGTGGGAAACAAGTGTCAGGGACACTCACCTGATCTCCGTGGTCAGGTCCTTGTTGTCGGAGGAGGCCTCTGATCCACCTCAGCTGGGAATCAATCCTCGGGCAGCCTCACCTGTAGAGAAGTTAAGGTAGAAGGCTTCCAATTACCACCTGTTAGGTGAATCATAGAATCATAGAATATCAGAGTTGGAAGGGACCTCAAGAGGTCATCTAGTCCAACCCCCTGCTCAAAGCAGGACCAATTCCCAGCTAAATCATCCCAGCCAGGCTCTATTGTTATTCCCCTCCCTTCCCTTCCTCCTTTTACATCCTCCCATTGTAATTAAAGGAACGTTTACATTCAAACAGCAGTGTGGGTGGCGTTCTTCCTGGGCAAACTCGGACAGACTGGTGCGGAGGGGGTCTGCAAGGGATTAGAAACCTCCTGTCAATCTCTGATTCAGAGCCTTCGGGAAGGGTTGCTGCTCAGAAACAGAACCCTTGGGGTGTTTGGGTTACAGTAGTGTGGTAGCGCCTAGGAGCCCAGACATGGACCAGGACCCCATTGCGTCTGGCCCCAAAGAGTCTACAGTCTGCGACCAGAGACAACAGGAGGGAACCAGCAGACAGACGGGGGAGCACAGGCAGACGATACTGGTCAGCAAAATGGACAGTGGTCTCAGCCCACCAGCTACCCAGCCACTGTCCAGTGTTTTGTAAGCATCACCGCAGAGGAGAGTTTAGCTTCTGATCCTGAGCAGCTGTTTCTACCCAGAGGGGGCGGTGCGACCATCCTTGTCTCTAAGCAAACCTACCTTCCAGATCTGCTGCCTTCTAACATCCACACAGCAAATAGGCGTGGAGTTTCTTCTAACAGCGTTGAGTTCTTGTATTTGCATAGCTGAGGGCCTGTAGTGTGCCTATA